CGCGGCGGAAGCTCGCGGATGGGCGCGATCCTCGCCGATCGCGAGGACGATAACGCCGCCTATGATCCCGATAAACGGCGACGCGATAATTAACACGTGAGAACCAGCTCCGCCCGTGGTACCGCGGGCACGCGTGCGTGTGTATTGGCGACCGTCTCGCTGTTGCGCGCGAGAGAGTGTGCAGCGCTGGCCGCGCGTCCCCGGCTACGTGAACGGCCGGCCGACCGACCCGGACGAACTCGTTCGTTCTCGCTGCTGGAAAGAAGAAGCAACACGTCCCGCGACGCGGGAAGAATAATAACGGTACAACGCGCTGCCGTGGATAAGGATACAGGGATTCCATGCCGAGGGACGTTAGGAGGACCTCGTTATAGCCGGCTGTGCCTTCCGCCGTGAGAGTCGTATATACACGTTCCGCACGACACCGGGACACGAGGGCTCGCGGACGTAGGCGTCGACGTCTCAATTTTCCGGTACCTCCGTCGAGAGCCGCGGAAGAAGCGAGAGCCGATTTTGAGACCGAGCTCGACGGATCGTGGTGAATTGTCCACGTGCGTGCCTCAGCGAGTTGCAATTTGCAAATCGATCGGGGACTCGTTAATCGTTATTAGGAGTCCTCGTGATCGCTCTGATACTGACGACTTTTACGAGATTACTTTATAATGCGTTGAACTCGTGGACAGAGTACGTGAATCGCGCGTGGCCTACGTCCAAGCTATAAGCGAACCCGCGAATAAACGCAGACCGACGGGAGGAAGAAAGAGAAATAAAGGAAGAGAGAGAGAGAGAGAGCGCGTGTAAGGCTCTCTTCCGTGCGGTTTAACGTGTTATTGCGCGCAGCACTTCTCAATTGACTCGCCGATCTCGCATCACCGCGCAGTTCGCGTGTTCGGCGATTCGTCGCGTTTTACGAGAGAGAGAGAGAGAGAGGGAGAAAGGGGAGCCTGACAAAAACTGTTTAAAAATCCCCCTCGCTCACCCCGACATTCCTCGGTAAGAGCAGGGTACCGCGGTCCGATATGAATCGGGCAGGCGGACACAAAGAGGAAGAAGAAGGATACGCGCTCGACGACGGCGAGGAGGGGCGAAGAGGCCGCCGGTCACTCTTTTTAATTGACGGGCACCGCATAATTTCAGGGTGGCCTGGCCGGTCGTGGTCAACGATGGAGGAAAGAGAGAAAGAACCAGACGCAGGGGGGAAGGGAGGGAGAGACGGAGAGTTGAAATCGTGGCGTTGCGCCGGACGGCGGAATTCCGCGGAATTCCGGGACCACCGTATGGACACGCGGAGGGCGCGATCCCCGGGCCCCAGGAGGCGCTTCCTTCCTTCGGCGCTTCGCGGGCTTAGTCACGCTGCGCAACGAGCTCTCCTCTCGCGGCCTTCGGCTCTTCTCACACTCTCTCTCTCTCTCTCTCTCTCTCTCTTTCTCTCTCTTTCTCTTGCTTCCCCGAAGGAGCCGTCGTCGTCGTAGCGCGAGGCGGCCGCAACACGGCCGAGCTATTACGTGTCGTTATTGGAGCTTAATAGGCGCGCCGGACCCTTCGGTGGATATGCCGATTATCGGGTTACCCCGACGCCAACCTACGCCTGCTCGCCCATAAGTACACGTTGTTATGCGTGCGCCTACCGTATGGACGCGCGAGCTCGCCGCTCTTTCAGCGCGGCCAGCAGGGGCGGATCAGCGCGAACAGAGGAGAAACTCAACCCTTCCGGTACCGGAGAGCGTCTGATGTCTTTGAGACATTACCTCGGTTTCCGAGAGAGAGAGAGAGAGAGGGGGGAAGAAGGGGGGGGGGACGAGAGAGAAACAAGCGTTTTTCTTAATTGACTTAATTGCAACGTTTAGACGGCAAGATGCATCGTATAATACCGTGTGAAACTTGGGAGTTCACCAAATTTTGCCGGATGTTACATACATGTTAACAACTTCATGTTCCGTGTTAAACGGGAGACCTGCATTTCAAGCCGCAATTATCTCGTCAATAGACCACGCGGATTAGTATCTTTCGCGTGTAATTATCAATTTTTTTCCAATTATTTGTATCCGTACGGCAGGAGGCTTTACTCGTTTGTTCCTTTTCCGCCGCGGACTTTCGAAAATCGACGAAAAAGCTAATAATCCATCCGCTCCTGCGCGAAACAGCGTACAGGTGCATCTCGCTCGAGGGATGTAGAGGAGGAGAGAAAAAAGAAAGATAGAGAGAGAGAGAGAGAGAGGGAACGTAAACGTACTTAGGCTCACGCGTACCGTACGGAACGAGAAGAAAGCCGGGAGCGAGAGCGTGCACGCTACCGTATTTCTCTGGAAAGTGATCAGGCCGCACACTCGTTCCGCGATCGTTTCGAGAGGAAACGCGAGGCCGCTCGCTCGAGTCGCGCGCGCCGAGTCGTCCTGGCAGGTGTCACGGGCGGCGTAATGAGGGCCTTCGTGTCCCTCCGTGAGATGATTGCGGAACGACGTGCCGGCGCGCGACACTTCGTCACGGTCTCCCTTGTCTCCCGATGCGCACGTGCCCGGGCCGATTACGGATATCGACGGGATCGCGCACGCGATATCGATCTCGCGTCCGTTCGCAGCCGCTTCGCTCGTGTTACTCGAAGAGACGCTCGAATCGGTCTTATTCTCGCCCAACGGTGGAGACGCGGTGGGACAACGTGATGATAAATTATCGAGCTCCCGGGCGACACGTATATCTCTCGCTGATTTAATTACCGGTCCTGGCGGAAAGCATAATTCACTAATTAATTCCTCGTCACTTCTCGCGCGTATATTTTACGGTCAACGATATCCGTGCGTGCGTGCGAACGTATGTGCGATGTGTTACGACACGCGAGCCGAACCGATGCACTTTAGTGCAGCGAGCTATCCTATAGCTCCCGTTTGCCGCAGGGAATGTTCCGCGCTCGATACGATCGGCGGATGGAGTCGCCAGATATTACGAGGCCGGCAGCAGTGCTCCCTCCGCGAGGTACACGGCGGCTCCTACCTCCGATCGGGTTACCGAACGTGCATACTCGCTTAAAGCCACGAGCTTGCGCCGGACTTTTAGTCGGCGAAATAACGCGTCCGAAAGCGTACCGCGCCCTGCGAAACTTACGGGATAAGTTCGCGTCTTTATCGAACGTCTGGTGATTGAAGCGATATACTCATACGGGACCATCGCACGGAATCGGATCGCGAACTTTTCTTCTCGGATTCATCATTGTCGCATGAGAATACGAGAATATTTCACGAAATTCCTTTTCGACAGATGAGATATGATTTTTCGATGAATTTTTAGATGAGAGTAATATTGATATGAAAAGGTATAAAAATATGAATGACAATGCGATATGAAACAATGTGATACTACACTGAGAACAATTTCCATCGGATAAACCAATTAAATGATGTATCCGATTGTTATTTTTGCCATCCGATCAAATGATAGATATCTTCATCCGGTGACATGCAGTTACCGGTGAAACCTAAAACCGGAAAATTAGTAGCCCTTTATATATCCGTTGTAATTGTATATCCGTTGTAATTTTCTCAACGGATAAAAAGCACTTGATTGAATTAAATGGCGGCAAAATCGGACATTGCACTTGATCCGGTATATCCGTTTGTAATTTTTTTAACTGGATTTTCCGATCACGTAGGCCAGGATATTTTCCTCAGTGCATTAAACAAAAAGCAAGACGGACGATTCGTAACAATTGTTATTTCTCCCTTTTATCTGCCTGAAGCAGATACGCTGCACACGTCGGATTTATCTCGCACGACCTGTTTTCCTAATCGGGCGCAGTATTTCACTTCTGCATCGAATCCCTCTGACATGAATTTATCTCCCGGTCTGATTGCTGATCGTGCGCGGAAGTGCCAGATGCATCCGCGAATTCGCGTTGTGCGCCCGCGGGAGCGTTGCATCGTCGATGCATCTGGCCGTAGAGTCGGAGAGACGAGGAGGAGAACGGAAGGGACGAGGGAGAACCCCCTCTGTCTCAATGGGAGCCCCGTGGTACGCACCTGTGCGCTTTTCAACGGTGAATAGGGGTCCCCGCAGGGGAGGGACTTAAAATGAGTGGTTTGCGCCGCCGAGGGGTGCGAAAACGCTCTATTAAAGGGACACGCGCACGTCCACACATCTGTCGCAATCACCGTGGTATTGTCGGCAAGCCAGAGGCGATTTAAATGGGGTTAAGCTTGCCCTCTACGCCTACTCCCCCCTGTGTTTGCATATCCGATCGCGCGCATAGGCGTCGACAATGGCTCGTCAATTCCGCGCGGTTACTTCTTCTCACGCGACGAATATATTTCTCGTGTCGCATGATAGCGATCGAATTTTGCTTTTATTCGCGATTCTCTGTACTCATATGTGAGAAAAAGATTTGACAAATATTGACTGCGTGTGATCGTGTACTAATGAGAACAGGAGGAATGTGTCTTCTAATTTTGGGATAAGATAGGTATGTCCCTTAGTGTAATTAAAATTATCGGCTTTTTCGAGTCTGACATTACGCACTCGAAATATTATTTCGTTTTCAATATGTAGAGATATTATATATTGTATCATGAATTACGACGACAATTTACACGTTGATTACTGACGCGAAATTAATTTATACGAGAAACTCGCGAGAGACTTGAATAATTTTCAGTGAAAAATTTGACGCCTATGGGACATGACGTCTCGTAAGTCGCTCTTTCATGAATTTTAGGGGGTTGCTCGTGAGCGCGCGTGATCCCGCACGTGCGCCACGCTTGTTCTCTCGCACGCGCCTGGACGGACCGCTTAGGACACCGCGCAAGAAATCCGAGAAGACGGCGCGCGTTATACGCGAGCGCAGCGCGCGGAATCCTCCTCCGTTTCTGCCATCTCCTCGCTTCGAATCCTTTCGCGTACACGGCTCTTCCGGCGCTAAATGTAAGACGAGACCCGAAGGCTACGAATCGCCGAAGCCGTTCCGAAGCGCTTGAGCATGCTTCTCGGTGCAACCACGCGCGATAAGTATTTACCTGTCCCACGTTCCCGTCTCGCAAAGCCCGATCCTTCAAGCTCGCCTTGTCAGCATCCGGATTTTCACCGGACAGATTAACGTCACGGATTCGTTCGAGATAACGTTACGTAATCCGCGCGTGGGTGTCTCACTTTTGCAGACTGATTATCAACTGATTTCCCCGCTCGATGATGAAGATCGCACGTGGGACGGCCACGGTGCGAATAATATCCGCGAAAATCCCCGTGAGGGATTTCCCCGTGAGAAACGCGCGAGAAAAGTTACTCGCGATACCCGACTCGCCGATTTGAGCAGCTCGAGGCACGGTTAAATCTCCTTGTACTTTCAACACGCGTGTGTAAGACGAGACTGAACGTAGGTTATCGATTGCCAGTTCTACGGGCATTTGAGCATGGTGCGCATGCACGGCGCGATGAATATTTGCTCGGAGAACGCTTGTCGCAAGCAAGCTGATCTCTCTCAAACGTCTCGCACATGTCAGCGGCCAGATGGTTAGATTGAATTTCGTGCGCACTTTGAAATAATGTTGCCGTCGATTAGATACATATTCAGCTTTCCGTGCTAAACCGTCCTGAAGCCTCGCGCGTCGGAGAAAAACTTACGATAAATCTAATATATTCAGGTGACACGTATCGAGATTATTTCCTTCGTATTATATTTAAAATATTTCTCTGTGTGTGTATGTGTGAACGATTAGTAATCATTTAATATAAAGAACATTCGTGATTTTAACGCACACTTGACGAACTTATCGAGAACAAAGAGATATCGAACCTAAGTGTTAAAAAAAAGCTTAAGCTGATTTATAAACATTATTCGAGAAATAATTAACATCACGAATCTCTGATTATTCGTCAACTTGTAACTACATTTGTTTCATACAACAAGACCAAAATTTCGTCTCGGGTAAATACGTACACACTAACGTTCTGTGAAAGGAACATGCGTTCCATTGTGTTTCTACATGGTGCATTCGATGGCCATTCATGATAGCGCACTAGAGCTTGAAAGAGGATCACGTAAACGTCGAGGGTGCAGCACCCTCCTTTTGATCCAGGCAGGATATCGAACACTTGTCGTCTCTCGCACGTGTCAAACGCGGCTCTTTTTGCACATCCTGCCAATCAATGACGCGAATCACAAAGTACTCGTGGATACTCGCGTCTTAAAACGTGCATAGACTCGCTCTCGACAAATCGCCAAGTCCAACGATAATAAATCTTTCCCTTTCTCTCTTATCGCGTATTCTGAGGATAAACATCGATTTTACCGCGTATTCTATTCTACGCTGCGCATGTGAGCGCGCTAAAGTTCGCGTTTCACCTCGCCGCCTCTATACGTGCATCGATTACACAAACCGTATATCGCGTTCATCAGTCAACCCCCGCAATTTCTAATTTACCGCATGGAGATTCTCGACGCGAATCAGGCGAGGCCGCGGAAAGGGGAAGCGCATACTCTTCCCATCAATTCCAGCGTAGAAGTAACACGAACGGAAGCCCGCGCGCTCGCACGCGGGGTTACAGGAGCAACCGGTATAAATCTCGACGGGGCATCTTTAATTCCGTCGATACGACCGAGGCGATAAAACAGTCGGGCCGAATATATACGAGTAGATTGAATCCCGCTAATTACGGTTAATTACGGCCGCCTCCCCGTCCTGCTCTTCCTCCTCCTCCACGGTTGTACGGAAAATTGCGTGAGCGCGCGCGCGCGCGCTACCAGTTTCGTCGAAGGGGAATGCGATCGGCCGCGGTGACGTAGTCGTCTCTCTTGAGAAAGAGAGAAGGTGAGAGCCGCTCGCGTAGATCCGAAAACGCGCGCGCACCCTCTCACGGTGCGCCATCGGCACCGGTCCACAGGGCATCGCTTCCGCAATGCTCACGTCCAAGGCAGCGTAACAGACGCCGTGAACGAGCGTGGAATCGATTCGTCGAATACCGAAGTGGTAACGCGACGTGAAGCGGCGGCCGAGACCCCGGAAAACCGGCGAGATGTGTAACGGAATCGGCGATCGAGCGGTCGGGATGGATCGGGATCGATAGGTCGCGCCGATGATTCGCCGTCATTAATTTCGATCCTGCGAACAGAAGATGCCTCTTCGCGCGCGAGAACGGACGAGGATCCATCATTCGTGCGCGCAACGCGACAATAATAACGATAACTCCCTCTTGCATTCACTCCTTCCTCTTCCCACTCTTTCCCGACGACGACCGTGAGGCCGATTAGGATCGCGGGGATTATTGCGAATCGATGGAATCGCGCCGGGATATCGGGTTATTAATTCCAATAACCTCGCGGTCGGTATCGACTTGCGGCGCACGCGTTTGCGTTCCCTCCGGTCCAATTAAAAAATTCCGGCGAGAACGTTCTCGCTCTTGCGTTTTTCGCTCCCTCAATGATTCATACGGCGCTCGCAATTAATAACGACAGCGGGGCTGAGGTCTAAACCACGCCGCCGAAAGTAGAGACAATCATTTAGAACCGCGTCGATGCCCGGGAATCGAGTTATTAATTATCACGACGGTCCGTTCGGCATAAGCACCTCGCGTACGTATCATCGGTTTATTTCGAAGTCACGAAGTAATCGTTCCAGACGTCGATAATTAAGGGAGACCCGGGGATGCTCACGACGGTGTACGAAGCAATCTAGCGTTATTGTTCGTCATATTTTTGCGTATAGATATTTCTCTCGTATACGTTATATACAAATGCCGCGATAAGTTATTCGTGTCATAAATGTAATTGCAGCGGCCGTGTGTGCGCTCGTCTATATGATCGTGTAGAACTGTGAGCTTCTTTCGTGCGATACGTACACGCTACCGCTGTATCCGCGACGAAAAATCAAAGAAATCACCGCTGAAATATGATAGCTACAAATTCCTTTCGTTATCGGGAATTCAACGTTCCCTTGATTAACTTCCCGTTAATCGCAAAATTCAATATCCATCCCAGTACTTGTCAATTTGTTCTTCACTGTTTCTTATGTACTTTAGCGCCTGGTCTATTAGCCAAGTGCTAGTGAAAGAAAAATTGTCTCAAGAAGCAGAGGAAAATAATGGGGAAATTAGTGAGACACATTGCGACTATTTATGGGTGAAAAATATTGCGACTAATGGAGGGTTAAAGATCTCAAGAAATTATCCAAATCTTATATTTTTCGTACTCCTTTGACTCCTTCGAATCAAATACGCCGAGATCAAGTGGTCGAGATTATAGCTCTGCAGAATCGTAAATCGCCGGAGAATTTTCGCGCGCGCCGCTCTCATTCGCGCAATCCTTTCCCGACTGCGCGCGCGATTTTTGCGATATTTACGAGCTGGAGCGGGCAATATGACTATAAAGGACCTAAATGCCTGCGCCATCATTCAGATGTACGTTCGACGGAACTATGTCGATCGCGATGTATACAGTTATTAATTAACGTAACTCTCCGGGCGCGGTAACGGACTCGTAGACGCGGTGCGCCGACCGTTCCCGAGACGTCGTCTCGACGCGCTGCTCGTCCGGCCGCGGTGATTAAAGGGACGACGCGCGTTGCTTTCGGCGACGTAACAAGTAGTCGGGCGATTTCATTGATTTCGCCGACCTCTCTCGCCGATACACGTCCGATCGATCTCGTATTCGTTTCGGCCCGCCGCGTTCTTAATGGTCGGCCTGGGGTTCAGCACGGGAGAAACGGAAAGCTCGACTCCTTGACCGTACGATCGTTAATTATTCGTGCCACGGTCGTAGCACGTCGTGACGAAACCGCGAGACCGGCCGATCGGCCACAGGGCGAGTAGTCGAAATAACGATAATTGATGACCGATAACGCTCGTTAATGCGTTGTACGCGGCGCGACTTTGGCGTGCGCGGAATGCACGTAATCGATTCTGATGAGGCTCGTCGACGGTCGACGTGAAAACGGAAATCAAGGCTCGATTCTGGCCGACGTCGGCGCGATGAATTTCTCCGCGACGTGCGAAACCCAACTGACGGTGGTGCCTTCGCCCACCGCGAAGTACTTTCAACAAACGTACATTACGCCGCGCCGGTACATGCGGCGAGTACATACGCGTTAAGATATGTACGTGTATCTATGTGTATGTACCCCCCCGATGCCGTGCGGCCGATACATTTTGCAATCAGACTTTATTACATCGCTCGATTTACACCACGAATCGAAAGTCACGATCCCCCGGGTTCGATCGGGCCCGATACGTGCAAGGTGTATCTGCCCGCTCGCATGCTTTCTTGCTCGCCTGCCTGCCCGCCTGCCTACCTGGATGACTCGATATCTTCGCCAGGGAGAGAGAGGGAGAGACAGAGAGAGAAGGGGTGGGTGAGGAGGGGTAACCGATCCGACCGTCGGGCTGTACCGTAAGGATACGATCCGCGATCTCATACTCGCGCCTGTATATGAATACGCGCGCCGCGCGCGGGGTGGGGGCAAAAGTGAGGTAAGGTAAGAAGGACTTACAGCTAATAATCATTAGCCGGAGAGATGCGGGAGCAGATATCAGTCGAGGCAATCATTGCGGCATTCGATCAAACGAAACGGGCCCTGAACCTCGCCTCGAACACCACGTATGTTTCTCTGTACGTATCGTTTCTACGTACGTATGCGCGTACGTACGCGATGCCCACGTCACGATACCGCCGCCGATTGCGGGAACGTCCGTGATCGCCGTTTGCGATCGCGTTAATCTCGCGCCGCGCGACCGATAGTAACACGCGGTATAATCCTTCCCCCACCTCCCCCCAACTTATCCGTAATTAATGGCGCAATTATCTAGCGGTGAATTGTTACCGTGCTTTTCCTATTACGGAACTTCTCTATTCAAATTGCTTCTCTCGCATAATTACGACGCACGAGAGAAAGATGACTTTCCGTGTTTTACTCTGGGAAATAACGCGGACGGAAGACATACGGAGATGGATAGTGGACGCGGACGTTTCGTAGAAGGCGGTAACTTTTTCATCCCAAAAACCGTCCGATCACCTCTTCACGGACGATGTCCCTCCGATTAGCCATTATTATTCTTTATATCGTGGTTTTTCGAGGAGGTAGGGTATCGTGTCGATCGGTATCGATTTTAACGCGCGTCAGGGAGACCGGAAGAGAGAGGGAGAGGTCCTTAATTTGAGGTGGCGTCCATCCGTTTTCGAAAGTACGGGCGATTTTATGACCACGCGACCCTTATAAGGGACGAGGTTTAGGCTGAGAGCAAGCCGGACGAGGTAATTAAGCTTAACGCGCGCATCGCCTCGCCGGCAACCGCCAGCGGCTCGCGATTCTCCCGTCCGCGCGGCGTTCCGCCGTATAGA